TGTGCTTTTAAAGAAAGTGTTGAGTGGTGGACAAAACGTCCCACATCCACGAAAAGTTGAAGTGTCTGTAGAAGTGAGTCCACTGGCTCAAGCCTGCAGCCTCCCCGCCCCTTTCCCTCCCCGACGTCGAAATGCAATGCCAACGTTTCATCCCAGGCGGTGCTCCCTGCTGCTGTGAGCCTCCGCAAACGGATCCAGAGCGCACTGAAGAGTGTCTCCTCCATCGGGCCCCATTGAGTGATCAGAGCCTTGTGCTGGTCACAGTTCGGCACATGACGATACCCACAACGCACCAGTGACAGCAGCAATGGTAGCTGAAGAAGAACACCATTTCCATCCACGCAGTTTACCAAATGCGTGGCGACGCCGCTATCGGCACACGGGTGCTCGCTGCACAAGACCTCAGCCGCCTTCAACGGCGATATTGGCGCCACGAGCAACCGATCACGCAGCAGTGAAAAGACGGAGTACATGGCCCTCATCGTGAGAAATAAATAAAAAAACGACACCTCTGCTGTGTCTTGTTGGTATCATTCATACATCCACCGCAGCATAAAGACACGCAAAAATAAAGAAAGTTGGCAAAAAAAAAAAAAAAGCACAAACTCAAAAACAAATTGTAGAAATAATAATAATAATAATACAGGAAACACATATTGCAAGAACAGAGAAAAAACAAACAAACAAACAAAAAAAGTGTAAATTGTAATGAGGAACCACCTTTAAATAATACCACCTCATTCGTTTTTTTTTTTTTTTTGATTGTTATCAATTCGGCAAAGCCCGTTACACGGAGAGAAGCCAAACAAATGAAATCCAACAAAATTTAATAATGAGGCGTGAACGGGGGGGAAAAAAAAAGCGACACGCATAAATCAATAATACGATTGCAATCGATGTTTCCTTCACTCCTCTCCCTCCACTCCATTTAATCAGCCCGTCGCCTCTTCTGTGGCTGTTCTGGCACCACGACCTCTGCGTCAACCAGCGCGTCGTCCTCAATCCTGAGCTCGTCCAGCATCTCTTCAAGCGCAATCTGCGGCACCCCATCATCCTCGTCTCCCTCTTCTTCCGGTTCCACGCAATCTTTGCCATTCGTTGCCGCACGTTGAGCCAGCTCGAATTCTGACATCTTGTAAATGGGCACGTCACGGCGGAACTCTGCGTCACGCTCAAGGTCGTCCTCAAACTCCCGCCGCTCCTCCTCAAGCTCCTCCTGACGTTTTTCATTGCGTCCCATGGACATAGGGTCCAGGACGTCCAAATGCTTAAGCTTCCATATACGCTTGTGGCGCCGCGCCCTTTGGGAAGGGAAGTGTTTCCGCACAAGGAACACCTCTTGGAGTTGCTCCGGGTTGTACCGTTGACTGTCCCATTCCTCGTTGTTAAAGTTCTTTCCCTCCAGCAGATACCCCATCGCAAGATCACCAGGTTGCAACAATCCACCGAGGTGCGATGTCACAATCCACTCACGCCCCTGGCCAACCTCGGAGGATAGGCAGAGAGTCACCACACCGAGTTGATAACGGCCGTTTGTTACACCTGTGGGAGTACATTCCAGCACGTAAAATTCTGTGAGTTCACGGGAGCTCATAAAAGTAGGAAATGGTTTCTTCCAGTAATACTGGCCCGTAAACTCACCAGCGCGCAGTGTTTTTGGATCCAGTAACACAATACTGCTGTATACTTTGTGCACAATGACAAGAGGGCCAAGTCCACCAAGTTTCAGATAGTAATTTTGGTAAGGAAGCAGGAGAAGATCTTCACGGCACAGTGGAGCAATTTCAACCGAAAACGTATGGTGTTGTACAGCTGTATTATTCTTGCTATCATGTGATACAAGCTGCACGGCGTCTCGACGTGTTATAGGGCTATTACGATTTAAAAACTCCAAAAAATTCATTGCATGGCTCTTATGCGCAAAAAAGAAATCCAAGCCATCTGGTTTAGACTCAACACGAATAAAACTCTCATGTAATTTGTGTTTTAATATAAGTTGCTCAAGAAACAGAAATGTTTTCTTATGTGTGGTTTTCTGTCGTACCTGAACACACGCATCCCACTGTGGTTGTCCTGTTGCTACCTTTTGACAGGTTGGGCACTGCTGCCAGAGGACAACGTACTCCACCACGCATGCTTGTTGAATGACAATATTGTTCAATACTTCCTTCTGAAGTACAAGTTTCACCTTCAGCCGTTTTGAGTGTGGCTCTGTCCATATAAAGTTGGCATCAACCAACTTAAACACATTTCGGCTCATCCCTTTGATGCGTTTGAGGCAAATTGTAAGCAATTCACGGCTTTCCAAATCTGCACGACTCCAATACTGTGGAGGCTGAAGATAGCGGGTACATTCCGGGCAGTATACAATAATATATTCCTTTTGCAAAGACTCGGTGATGTCGACATGTGAACGGAGACAACTGGGGCACATGTTGCTTGGGTTGCTGTCTATCAACAGGCCACACATGCAGCAGAGGACTTTTGGGATAATCCTCTCGTCACACTCATGCTGAAACTCACCGTCCAAGTCCATGACTACACACAAACACACAAATATGACTCTTCCCGCAGTTGCTGCTGTGCAAAAAAAAAACGGTAGGCCTCTCCCCAAAACAAAAACAAAAACAAAAGAAAAAGAAAAAAAAACGATCCAACCACAGGAATAAATAAAACATTGCATCTGAAAAACGCTCCCGCACCTCCAGCAAAAACCACACACACACACAGAGAGAGAAAGAGAGAAGGGAAATTTCATACAATCTGAGCAGATATCTGGAAAGGAAAAAAGAGAAAAAAAAAGAGGAAGGGCAACAGAAACAGATAGAAAGTCATGCTACCAAGCGATAACTACGCAGGCAAATAAAATCCGTACTTAATATAACCCATAATTTCCTCTTTTTCCTATTCCCGGTGCTGTCATCTCGCAAAAAATAATAATAATAATAATAGAAATGAAGTCCAAATGGCAAGAGGTTGGGAGAGGATTATAACCCCACTTCCTCCTTCCCTTCCTCACTGTTTTCTTTTCTTCTCCCTCGGCAGGGAAGACAGTCCCGTACTAAAAGCATTGCAGTCGCCATCATGCATGCACAGATGAGGGCCCCAAGCAGAAACAATCAGAAAAAAAGAAAAAAAAAAAATCACGAAACAAAACAAAAAGATGTCAGAAGCAAAAAAAAAGAAAAAAAAATGTAAAAAGAAAAAGAATGGAAATAAAAGAGAGGAAGAGAGAGAGACAGAGGGGGAAAAACAAAACACAAAAAAAAGGGTGTACGGCGTTAATAACCACCAATCGACACAATTAGCAACGCGGGGCCTTCCCAATTTTATTCCTCTTCCTCCTTTTTTTCTTTTTTTTTTCTTTTTGCTACCATTCTCTGTCTGTGTAATACATGTAGACTCGTGCCACAAGGTACACACATACGCCTAGAAATTTCATTTTTTCCTTCTTGTCTGTTTGTTTGTTTACTCTCGAACTCCGCTCCCCTTCCCTTCCTTCCACACACACGCACACACAAAGGCAGGCAGGCAGGCAGACAATTCCACACCAAATAAATACATCCGCACATACATGAAACACAGAAATCTCCTCAATATTTCACACACACACACACTCTCTCTCTCAATCACCCTATCACTCTGTCTCCCTCCATCCCTCCATCTATCGCCCACCACAAAACGGAGAAACAGACATGAAAACACACACGCAAGCCGACGTATACATTCAAAGTAAATACAAATAACAGTAAGGCACACACACACACACAGAGAGAGAGAGAGAGAAAGAAAGAAAGAAAAACATATATTTATATTTTCATATATGCAGCTGAAATATTAGTTACTGTAAACAAATTAAAAATTGATAACCAAACGTAACCCCCCCCCCCCCCCCCCA